TTCCATGCCATCCACCTGATGTCATCTCTTAGCAACCACACAGATAGATGTCCTCCAGGGTGATCTGTTCCCAATTTGGTCCTTCGAGACCAGCTACGGCGCTGTGACTCCATCTATCTTGGTGGTCTTCTTCTTCTCTTTCCTCACATTTGGGCCAGCATCGGAGCCTTCTCCAGAGTGCTGGGTCTTCACATCACGTAGGCCGAGTAGGATAATTCAGAGACAGTTTGGGGTAGTGGTGAAGGTACTGGCCTAGAAACCAGGAGATGGTGAGTTCTAGTCCTGCCTTAGGTATGAAAACCAACTGGGTGACTTTGGGCCAATCACCAGAAGATTGAGAAACCCAGTCCCGCCTTAGGCATGAAAGTTGGCTAGGTGACTTTGAGCCAATCACTAGGAGATGGTGAGTTCTAGTCCCTCCTTAGCCATGAAAGCCAGCTGGGTGAGTTTGGGCCAATCACCAGGAGACGGTGAGTTCTAGTCCCGCCTTAGCCATGAAAGCCAGCTGGGTGACTTTTGGCCAATCACCAGGAGACGGTGAGTTCTAGTCCCGCCTTAGCCATGAAAGCCAGCTGGGTGAGTTTGGGCCAATCACCAGGAGACCGTGCGTTCTAGTCCCGCCTTAGCCATGAAAGCCAGCTGGGTGAGTTTGGGCCAGTCCCTCTCAGCCCAACCCACCTTACAGGGTTGTTGTTGTTGTAGGGAAAAGAGAAGGCGGAAAGAGTATTACATTATATATGTTTGTTAGCTTAAGTTATTTTAAAGGTAATAAAGGTATGTGGTGGTGGGGGAAATCAATAAAAAATTAAGAACCATTTGAACCTGGACATTACACGAATCGACGTTTCTCCTGGTCTAACATCCCTTGTGAGATTAAGAATCCTGAGTCCCGAATGGTAATTTTGGAATGTGGCCCACGGAGGACATTTTCTGAGGGAAAAATAAAACCCGCAACAAAACACTCCTGCAATCCTGCCAGGAAAACATAATTGCGTGAATCGAGCAAGTCACAGGGAAGCCGGGCTTTACGTGATTTTATCCAGCGGCTTTGACAAGATTCGCACAAGAGGCAGGGGGCTGGACTAGATGACCTCCAAGGTCCCTTCCAACTGCCTCTAATCAACATTAACATGTCCAGGAAGAGAGAAACATCTGCCAGGACCAAATATGAGTGAGGAGAGGTTTTAAGGCAGCCTTTCCCAACCTCAGCAGCTTTAAAGTGTGTGGACTACAACTCCCAGAATTCCCTAGCCAGCATGCTCCCAGGGAATTCTGGGAATTGAAGTCCACGCATCTTAAAAGTTGTGGAGGTTGAGAAACGGCTTTAAGGAGATGGATGATCAAAAAATTACAAAAAAACTCTATTGCCCTCTTGTGGAAAAATGGGGTATTATATTAAATCGGAAACAGCCGGAAGGGAACCCTGAGGTCTTCTAGTCCAGCCCCCTGGACTAGCAGGAGACCCTGTACCATTTCAGACAAGTGGCAATAAATTAAATAAAAAAATGTTTTACACACACAGGTAATGAATCCCACAAAAGGATTGCATTATTCAAACCTGGTCTTATTTCTAGGAAAAAAATAGGTTGATTCATTCCCACTCAGTGAAATAGGCAATTAAAAACATTAAACATAGAATTTTATATCTATATTAATGAAATATTACAGTAAAGAATGAATAAAATATACTTGCCATTGAAACATACGGTTCACAAAGTCACAGCAAAATAATAATAATAAAAAAACCTTTCTAAATATCCTTCCTGAAGGTAAATTTATTGCACTTAACAAAGATGAACAGCATGCAAAACCCCACTGCAGTTGCATACATGCTAGCCACACACACACTGAATTTTGGGCTGTGTTAAACATCACCTGAAGCCAATTTACAATTTGCACTAATTGGAATATTGGATTATTCCAGCAAGCACTCATCACAAATGTACCTGTATCACAATGTACCTGTAATTGGAGCATAATTTTTGCTTTTGGACCCCAACACCAGTAAGTATGTACCCTGGTGTTTTCAAACTTGGCAACTTTAAGAGGTGTGGACTTCAATTCCCAGAATTCCCTAGCCATTCAAGAGGGGTTTGATTCTTGTAGATTTCCGGTCTCTGTTCCTCCTTGGCTGTGTTGAATTTTTGATTTTTGCTCTGTAATTTTTTTCCCAGCTGCTATTTGATGGGTTTTTTTAAATACACTTTTAAAATCATTTGAAATATTGTTAAGCATCCAGAGCCATGTTTTTAAGATAAGCAGCCATATTATTCAAATAAATAACTATTGCAAACTACAGTGGATTTTTTTAAAAAATAAATAAATAAATAAACATTTAATATTACCAAGAAAAATGCAGTCTAGGCAATCACGAGAAAGCCGTTGCAAAATGTTTGAATTATTTTGTGAGAAAGGTTTTGAACTCTCAATAATGATGATGATGATGTTGTTGTTAGAAAGGATCTTGGAGTCATCTAGTCCAACCCCCTGTTCAGGCAGGAAACCCTATACCAGTGATGGCGAACCTTTTAGAGACCGAGTGCCCAAAAGTGTAACCCAAAATCCACTTATCGATCGTCAGGTGCCGGGTGGGCATGGCCCATTGGGTGGGCGTGGCTGTGGTGGTAATAGCAGACTGGGTGGGACTAAACAGTTCAATCAATCAATTCCAACTTGGCGAGATTTTTTTCCTGCGAGAAGTTGAAATTGATTGATTGATTGAAACTTTTTTTTTTTTTCCACATGGTGGTGGAGGCCTAAAGCGAAAAGGTTTTACAAAACCCAGCTGAAGGGCTAGGACTGGGGCAATGGTGCACATGCGCACAGAGAGGGCTCTGAGTGCCGCCTCTGGCACCCGTGCCATAGGTTCGCCACCATGGCCCTATACCATTTCAGACAAATGGCTGTCCAGTGTCTTCTTAAAAACTTCCAGTGTTGGAGCATTCACCGCTTCTGGAGGCAGGTGGTTCCACTGGTTAATTGTTCTGTCAGGAAGTTTCTCCTCAGTTCTAGGTTGCTTCTCTCCTTGATGAGTTTCCATCCATTGCTTCTTGTCCTGCCTTCAGGAGCTTTGGAGAACAGCTTGACTCCCTCTTCTTTGGGGCAGCCCCTGAGATATTGGGATATTAAATACTAAGCTCTCTTCTGTATTGTTATTTTAAAACGTTAAAAGAGAGAAAAGGGGGGGGGAGGAAAAAATGTTATTTGGAAAACATTAGTAAATATTTAATTTCTAAACTCCACCTTTTTTATACTGAGTTACAGCTTTTAAAAACATTTAGATCCTTGTTTAGACATTTAGACTGTCGAAGAAGGCAGAACATGCAATAGTCTGACGTTCATGTCACTTCAGGACAAAAAAAAAAACCTTCATTAAGGATGAATCCAAGCTCATTAAAAACTGGAAAGCAGACCGTGTGGAAAATCTGGCTGTTATCATTTTAAAAACTAGGAATAAAAGAGCAACAATGGAACAGAACACAGGACCAAAGGGGAAAGGTATAATTTCTTTGAGGGACTGAGATTACCCTTAAAAACCGCCCATTTCTCAAGTAAGCAAAATCGTGCCTAGATACGTTAAATATATTAAACTAGCCTAAAGTGGCCTTATCCATTGGTCTGGCTTATATATATTGTAGTGCTAATACTAACAGAGTAACAGAGTAAAGGACTTTGGAGATTTTCTAGAATCTAGTCCAGGGATAGGCAACCTTGGCTCTTTTATGACTCGTGGACTCCCAGAATTCCTGAGCCAGCCATGCTGAGGGGAAAGGGAGAGTTTCCAAGCTGAGCCATGTTGGCTCAGGAATTCTGGGAGTTGAAGTCCACAAGTCATGAAGGGGCCATAGTTCCCCCATGCTGGCTCAGGAATTCTGGGAGTTGAAGTCCATGAGTCATAAAAGAGCCAAGGTTGCCTACCCCTGATCTAGTCCAACCCCCTGCAGTGATTTACTTAACAACTGCAGCAAGAAAAGTTGTAAAATGGGGCAAAATTCGCTTAACAAATGTGTTGCTTAGCAAGAAAAATTTCCGGTTCAGTTGTGGTCATAGGTTTAGAATAGAATAGAATAGAATAGAATAGAATAGAATAGAATAGAATAGAATAGAATAGAATAGAATAGAATAGAATAGAATAGAATAACAGGAAAGAATAGAGTAGAGTAGAGTAGAGTAGAGTAGAGTAGAGTAGAGTAGAGTAGAATAGAGTAGAATAGAATAGAATAGAATAGAATAGAATAGAATAGAATAGAATAGAATAGAATAGAATAGGTATAGGAATAAGAATAGAACAGGAATAAATAATAGAATAGAATAAAATAGCAGAACAACAGAATAGAATAGAATAGAAACAGGAAAGAATAGAATAGAATAGAATAGAATAGAATAGAATAGAATAGAATAGAATAGAATAGAATAGGTATAGGAATATGAATAGAACAGGAATAAATAATAGAATAGAATAAAATAGCAGAAAAACAGAATAGAATAGAATAGAATAGAATAGAATAGAATAGAATAGAATAGAATAGAATAGAATAAATTTATTGTCACTTTGAACGTACACTTATCGGCATACATTAAAATGAAATTTCGTTGCATTCAGCTCTCAAAGGGTCACCACCTCCAATAAAACACTACATCAATATGACCAAAATAAATAAATACATACAGAATTACGCCTATACCCACATATATTATCTGACACAGAGGAACAACACAGTCTACTTCGGGTTATGTACAGATGTGGAAAAAAAGACTTTTTGCAAAACTCGCGCTTCGGGAGAGGGATGTGCGGGGTGGGGGGGGCGGAGTGGGGTTCAAGGTCCAGCCGCGCGTCCCGGACCGGCATCGCTTGCAATTACGCCCCCCCCCCGCCTCCTTGCAGGCGATCGGACCGAGATTGGCAGCTGCAGCCGCCGGAGGGAGGCTTCTTGGCACGGTCTCCAGGTCTGGATCCACCAGCTGGGAAAGATCCGGAGCCGAGCCGAGCCAAGCCGGCTTGCAAAAACTGCAACCGGCCCGGGAGCTTTTGCAAGAGCGAGGCTGGAAACGGCGACGTGGCCGGCCCGGGAGCGCCCTCGCCGGCCGCGGCTGAGCGTTCCTCGTAGCCCCGAACGCCGACCCGTCCGCGGGGCGAGCGGCGGCCGTTAGTGTCGCCCGAACGAAGCGCGCAACGGCCGCGGCAGAGGCTCCCATCCGGCCGGCCGCAGCTGGAGAGGGAAGGCGGCGGCTTTTCGCGCCCTTCCCCCCCAGCCGGAGCTTTTTTGTTGAGCGCTTCGAAGTGGTCTCCTTTCCTCGAGCAGCGCAGGATTTGAACTCAGTGCCGGGCTCCGGAGCGAGCTGGGCCTGCGCGGAGCGGCTTGCGATGAGAGCCCGAAGCGGAGAGGATTGAGTCTCAACACGCTTCTGTTTCGAGACGAAAGGTAGTCCTTGGACCCCCAACTGAGCCCCAATTTTTTTGTCGCTAAGTGAGACAATTGTTGAAAGTGAAATTTTGCCCCGTTTTGCGACCTTTCTGGCCATGGTTGTTAAGGGAATCGCTGCAGTTGTTGAGTCAGTAACACGGTGCTTAAGGAAATCAGGCGAGGGGCGCCCATACAGGCAGTTCTTGACGTAGGACCGCAATTGAGCAAATAATTTTGGTGCTAAGTGAGATAGTTCAGTGAGGTTTTGCCCCGTTTTATGACTTTCCTTGCCACAGTTGTTAAGTGAATCGCTGCAGTTGTTGAGTCAGTAACACGGTGGTTAAGTGAATCAGGGGAGGGGCGCCCATACAGGTAAGTCCTTGACTTATGAACCCAATGGAACCCCCCTAATTTTTGCCGCTATGCAAGACGGTTAAGTTTTACCTCCCCCCATTTTACGACCTTTCTACCCACGGTTGTTAAGTGAATCACTGCACCTGTTGAGTCAGGAAGACGGTTGTTAAGCGAACTCGGCTCTCCCCCATTGACTTTGCTTGTCAGAAGGTCGCAAAAGGGGATCACGTGACAAACACACACACACACACACACACACACGGGGACACCGCAACCGTCATAGTCGGTTGCCATTTTCTTCCCCTCATATCAAATTGTATTAATTTTATCAACATATAGAAGGCACAAAGGAGAGAGAAAAAAGTAATGGAAAACTAGGAAAAAAGAGAAAATGTGGGGTGGAAAGAGGAAAAAAGAAAAAAAAAAGGCATTGACTTCCAACTCTTTTTTGGCCCAGTAAAAAATAATAACATTACGTCCATTTTTTTTTTACTCAATCTGCTCGGTTGAATTTTGGTCACGTGACCACGAGGAGGCTCCCAACGGTCGTAAGTTTGAAAAAAAAACTTGTGTTGACACTGCAAACGGTTATAAGACGAGGACTCTCTGTGCCAGCCCTCCTGTTCTTGTTTTCTCTCTTTTTTTGGTTTTTTGCAGCCATGAATTCCGACGAAGCCTTGATCTCCTTGCTGGTGATGGCGAGCATCATCCTGCTGATAGGCGGCTGCAGACAGCTATCCCACCGGGCGCTACGCCGGACTCCCAACTGGTTCACTTTCGCCCAGGAACTGACCGCCACTTTCCAGATCTGCGCGTGCACCCACGAACTCTGCCTGCTGGGCGGCTTGCTGCCCCGTCCGCAGATCGCCCTGTGGCTGACCTACGTGTTCACCGTCCTGCACGGCTGGACTTTAACGGGCAGCGTGGGCAACCCGGCCAGCGGCCTCCAACAGCTTTACAAAGGGCAGTTGCGGGTCCAGAGTTGGTGCCTGCAAACGTCGGCTCAGTTTGCGGCGGCCGTCTTGGCTCACCTGTGCATGAAGTTAATCTGGATGTTGGGGTTCACCTCCGGCCATTTGAGAGCCCTGCCCGACATTTGCAGCAACCCCATTCAAACCACGATCACCAACGCTTTCGGCCTCGAGTTACTCTTCTCCTTCCTGTTGCACCTGACTCTGCTCCAGTTTGAGGGCATGAACCCCACCATGAAGGTCCATCTGATTGCTCTGCTGATCACCTCTTTTGTCTACACAGGTGGGTCGCGTGGGTTCCTCTGACTTTAAACTCGGACCAGGGTCCTTCTTTGGAATGCAGGTAGTCCCAACGACTTGCCGCCACATTTGAGACTGTTTCCGTTGCTAAATAAGGCAGTTGTTAAGTGAAGGTTGCTCCAGGAAACCTGGCGTGGCAGTGGTTAGAATGCGGGACTGCAGGTGGACTCTGCTCACTGCCAGGAGTTCGATCCTGACCGGCTCAAGGTTGACTCAGCCTTCCGTCCTTCCGATGGAAGGTAAAATGAGGACCCAGATTGTTGGGGGCAAATAGGCTGACTGTGTAAACTGCTCAGAGAGGGCTGTAAGGTCCTTGGCCCAAAGTCACCCAGTTAGTTTTCATGCCTAAGGTGGGACTAGAACTCACGGTCTCCCAGTGACTGGACCAAAATCATCCAGCCAGCTTTCATGCCTAAGACGGGACTAGAACTCACAACCTCCTGGTGATTGGCCCAAAGTCACCCAGTTAGTTTTCATGCCTAAGATAGGACTATAACTCACAATCTCCTGGTGATTGGCCCAAAGTCACCCAGCTGGCTTTCATACCTAAGGTGGGACTAGAACTCACGGTCTCCTGGTGATTGGCCCAAAATCACCCAGCTGGCTTTCATCTCTAAGATAGGACTAGAACTCACCATCTCCTGGTGATTGGCCCAAAGTCACCCAGCTGGCTTTCATGCCTAAGGTGGGACTAGAACTCACGGTCTCCTGGTGATTGGCCCAAAGTCACCCAGCTGGCTTTCATCTCTAAGATAGGACTAGAACTCACCATCTCCTGGTGATTGGCCCAAAGTCACCCAGCCAGCTTTCATGTCTAAGGTGAGACTAGAACTCACCATCTCCTGGTGATTGGCCCAAAGTCACCCAGCTGGCTTTCATCTCTAAGGTAGGACTAGAACTCACCATCTCCTATTGATTGGTCCAAATCATCCAGCTGGCTTTCATGCCTAAAGCGAGACTAAAAGTCACCTTCTCCTGGTTCCTAGGCTAGCACCTTAACCATAACCCCAAACTGGCTCTTGTTATGCCAACAAAAATCCCTAGATGAGCGCAATATCCATAAGAATAGATCCAATAGCGTGCTAGGAATAGATTCAGTTTGGAGGAGCTGGAGAGCTGATGGAGGCCTTATGAAAGATCTAAGACCCAAATATCTCTGTATAAATGCACCCTCCATTAAGAGCGTCTCGTAAGCCGAGGGCATTGTATTTTTCAAACTCTGCCTTTGCCAAGCGCATCGTCTCTTCCGCGAGGTGGAAAGAGTTTCTTTGCCAGCCACTTCTGCTGAATCACACTTGGGAGTTCAGCTGCTTGTGTATTTGTGTATTAAATACTTACTGCTCAATTGTAGCATAACCATACACATCTGGGCTGACTCAGAAGCCTTTGGAATACAGGTAATCCTCCAGTTATGATCGCAAGCGAGCCCCAAATTTATTTTTCTAAGTGAAACATTTGTTCTGTGAGTTTTGCCCCCGTTTTAGGACCTTTGTTGCCACCGTTGTTAAGTGAATCACCGCAGCTGTTCAGTGAGTGACAGGGTTGTTAAGTGAATCTGGCTTCCCCACTGGCTTTGCTTGTCTTAAGAGCCGCAAAAGGGGACACAGCGACCGTCATAAATATGAATCAGTTGCCCATCGTCTGAATGTGGATCACGTGACCTGTGGGCATGACTTTGCTTGATCTTTGAACTTGTTTCTTGACTCTCCTTTGCTGGATCACCAAGCATTCATTTAGTCCAAAGTTGTTCAAAGGTACGACGGCGCTGAAAAAAACTGACTTAATGACTGTTGTCGCATCCCCCGGGTCACAGGATCAAAATCCGGACTCTGGCATGTACTTATGACGGTTGCACTATCCTGGAGTCTTGTGATTCCCTTTTGTAATCACCTGATCAGCAAAGCCAAGGGGGGAAGCGAGGTTCATTTAATGACCGAATGAGCCCGTTAGCTCCAGTGGATTCTCGTCACTACTGTGACAAAAAAAGGTCGTAAAATGGGGCAAAGCTCACTGAACAGCCGTCTTGCTTAGAAACAAAAGTTTTGGGTTCAACTGTGATCATAAGTCAAGGACCACCTGTAATTTTTAGAGCAGAATAGAATAACAGGGTTGGAAGGGACCTTGGAGGTCATCTAGTCCAACCCCCTGCTCAGGCAGGAGACCCTGTACCATTTCAGACAAATGGCTGTCCAGTCTCTTCTTAAAAATTTCCAGTGTTGGAGCATTCACAACTTCTGGAGGCAGGTTGTTCCACTGATTAATTGTTCTCACTGTCAGGAAGTTTCTCCTTAGTTCCAGGTTGCTTCTCTCCTTGGTTAGTTTCCATCCGTTGCTTCTTGTCCTGCCCTCAGGGGCTTTGGAGAATAGCTTGACTCCCTCTTCTTTGGGGCAGCCCCTGAGATACTGGAACACTGCTATCATGTCCCCCCTCGTCCTTCTCTTCGTTAAACTAGACATGCCCAATTCCAGCAATCGATCCTTATATGTTTTAGGCTCCAGTCCCCTGATCATCTTTTTTGCTCTTCTCTGTACTCTTTCTAGAGCAGCGGTTCTCAACCTGTGGGTCGCGACCCCATTTGGGGTCGAACGACCATTTCACGGGGGTCGCCAAACAACGCGATCCGCCATTTTTTTTTCAGCCGGCGCAGGGGGCGGCGCCGTGCAGGGGGACGGCACAGGGGGCGGCGCTGCACATGCGCGCCACGCAGGGGGCAGCACTGCGCATGCGCGCCACGCAGGGGGTGGCACCGCGCATGCGCGTCGCGCAGGGGGCGCCGCCGTGCACGCGTGCCACGCAGGGGGCAGCACCGCGCATGCGTGCTGCGCAGGGGGCGCCGCCACGTGCGCCGCCTGCTCATGACCGGGGTCGCCGGTCTAAAAAGATTGAGAACCACTATTCTAGAGTCTCAACATCTTTTGTACATCGTGGTGACCAAAACTGGGTGCCGTATTCCAAGTGTGGCCTTACCAAGGCCTTATAAAGTGTTCTTAACACTTCACATGATCTTGATTCTATCCCCCTGTTTAGACAATCAAGGAATGTCTTAGCTTTTTTGGCAGCTGCTGCACACGGCTGGCTCCTGTTGAAGTGATTGTCCACCAGGACTCTGAGATCCCTCTCACAGTTGCTACTACTGAGCCATACTGGGTGGTATGCATTATGCACCTATACTGGATTTAACACCATTAATCAACAACATCTGCCTATCCCAGGTCCTTGGGAACGATAGGGAGATAAAAACCCCAAATCTGGTCTAATTTACATAGGGAGGGGGGCTGTAACAATGCACCCTTGTTTGTTTTGGCGGGAAAAAAAGCCCCTTCCCTCAGCAGACTATCCTAAGGATGGCTGAAAAGATCTGAAGAACATACAGTGTCCACCACCTGGCCTTCATTGATCATTAACCTCCCTCTGAAGAGTTTGGCAACTCCCAAAAGGCAAACATCCTGGCTTGTAAGAGGTGATCTCAATCCACCCCTGAACTTTGGAATCTGTTTGATTTGAGATTTATTTATTTTGGGATCTTCTTCTTGTCTTTGATAGGAGGAAACCTCACTGGGGCAATATTTAACCCGGCTCTGGCTTTTTCTTTGCACGGAAGCTGCTTCATAGACCAGTTTTGGAATTACCTGGTGGTGTATTGCATCGCACCGTGCATAGGTGAGCGGTTTTATATTGTTCATTTCTTTTGGACAAAGGCACCAGGAGCCCTAAATTGCAGGAAGCAAGGGGTGTAAAACAAGAGAGGAGTTGCTTTAAGAAGGGAATCTTAGAATAAGCATTTTCTGTCTGATACTGGATAAAATAGGAGCCCCCCCCCATTTCTGCATCAGAATAGAATAGAGCTGGAAGGGACCTTGGAGGTCTTCTAGTCCAGCCCCCCACTTAAGCAGGAGAGCATACCATTTCAGACAAGTGACTGTCTAGTCCAGGGGTAGGCAACTTTGGCTCTTTTATGACTCGTGGACTTCAACTCCCAGAATTCCTGAGCCAGCCATACTGAGGGGAAAGGGAGGGGTTTCCATGCTGAGCCATGCTGCCTGAAGAATTCTGGGAGTTGAAGTCCCCAAGTCATGAAGGGGCCATAGTTCCCCCATGCTGACTCAGGAATTCTAGGAGTTGAAGTCCGCAAGTCATGAAGGGGCCATAGTTCCCCCATGATGGTTCAGGAATTCTGGGAGTTGAAGTCTACAAATCATGAAAGGGCCCTAGTTCCCCCATACTGGCTCAGGATTTCTGGGAATTGAAGTCCACAAGTCATGAAAGGCCATCATTTCCCCATGCTGGCTCAGGAATTCTGAGAGTTGAAGTCCCCGAGTCATAAAAGAGCCAAGGTTGCCTACCCCTGGTCTAATCTCTTCTTAAAAACCTCCATGATGAAACACCCACGAATTCTGGAGGCAAGCTGTTCCACTGGTTAATTGTCCTGTCAGGAAGTTTCTCCTTAATTCTAGGTTGCTTAGGTAAATCTATCATTGGGCTATTAAAGGGTTCCAAATTACAGATAGTCCTTGACGTAGGCCACAATGGAGCCCAGAATTTCTGTTGCTAAGCGAGAGAGTTGCTAAGTGAGTTTGGCCCCATTTTACCACCTTTCTGGACACAGTTAAGCGAATTTAATAAGTTAATAACACGGTTGCTAAGTGAGTCTGCCTTGCCCCCTATCGACTTTGCTTGTCAGAAGGTCGCAAAAGGGGATCACGCGACCCTGGGGACCCTGCGACCGTCATAAATAGGAGTCAGTTGTCAAGCGTCTGAATTTTGATCACGTGACCGCGGGGATGCTGCAACGGTCGGTCGTAAGCGTGAAAAAGGGTCCTAGGTGACTTTTTCCAGTGCCGCTGAGATTTCAAATGGTCACTAAACGAATGGAGGGCTGCCCATATGGTACCAACCAAAAATAGTTCACTTTTTGGAAATTGTTCAACCCAGGAGCGTCCACTCCTTTTTAATAATAATAATAATAATAATACAGTTGGAAGGGACCCTGGAGGTCATCTAGTCCAACCCCCTGCTCAGGCAGGAAACCCTATACCCTTTCAGACAAATGGCTGTCCAGTCTCTTCTTAAAAACCTCCAGTGTTGGAGCATTCACAGCTCCTGGTGGCAGGTTGTTCCACTGGTTAATTGTTCTGTCAGGAAATTTCTCCTCAGTTCTTGGTTGCTTCTCTCTTTGGCTAGTTTCCATCTGTTGCTTCTTGTCCGGCCTTCAGGCGCTTTGGAGAATAGCTTGACTCCCTCTTCTTTGGGGCAGCCCCTGAGATATTTTAATCTGCTTTTTTCTTCCCTTTTTCAAATACCTCAAAAATCTTTTATTTATTTTTTCTCTCTTTCAGGATCTTTGCTCGTATCTGTTATATGGGATGAAGTTCTCCCTGGGCTGTACAGAGATATTTAAATCTGAGAAGACAGAAGTTTAAGCATCTCATTTACCAAAACAAATGATGCAGTTTTTCTCTCCTTTTCCTGGAGACTGATGTTGGAAGTCTTCTAACATCTTTTAGAGGTTGATTTTGAGCATGGGGTTTTAAGGTCTGGTAGGTTCCCATGCTTTAAAACGTTTAAGATACCAGGATCTGTTTTCAAAAATTGGAACCCTGAATGCCCACGCCTGTTAAAGGGAAGTTATCTTGGTTTTTATGCACAATCCATCTTTTTCAGGAGATAACGAGTCGATCTTTTAAGAGAAAACAATCCATTAAAAAAATGTACAAAAACCGAGTGTCATAGAAAAAAATATATTTTTTCATTAGTAACAGTTTACCTTGGGAATAAGATAGAAGCTAAAACATTGAGCAAATGGTCATAATTAAAGACAATGAAGTACATTTTGCTTGATGTTTAGAACACTGTTTTTCAACCTCCACCAGTTTGGATATATGGACTTCAAACTCCCAGAATTCCCCAGCCATCCCTGGCTGGGGAATTCTGGAAGTTTGCAGTCCACATATCCTAAAGTTGCTAGGTTTGAGACACACCGGCCTTGAAAATGATTTACTAAGCTACATCCTAAATAAGTCTTAAATCTGCAATTCTGGGATTCTTTTGTGGGTTATCCAAAATTATTTAAATTTCTTCTTCCTAAAGCAGTTAACAGAATATTGTTTCTACTAGCTCACATAAGAAACATTTCTCCAAGTATTTGATACTATTTTTTTTTTTTAAAAAGTGTGAACCACCTTTGTATAAATGATAGTTTTTAAAGCACAGTTTTATGCATGCATCTTACGCATATAAAAAAACACAAAACCCAGCAGCTATATCATCAACTCAGGGCTGAACAATTACTTTTTTTTTGAGGATCTCTTTATTGTTAAAAGTTGCAAACGATATGAAAATGAGAATCATATCCAGATGCGACAATCAGATTGGCTTCCCAAATGCTTCAAGATTTTGTGTATCAGTCAAATAATTTCAGGAGCATTCGCGCAGTGTGGAAACTCAGCAGCTTACAAAGCAAAACACAAGACTGTGCCATAATTGTGTTAGCATCTCATCTGGAGCTCATGTATTCCTTCCAGAATTTCTGCTTTGTTTATATGAAAGTTTCTGTTTTGTTCTGTTAGTTAATTCTGTTAGATTTCGCCCCCCCCCTCCTCCCCAATCTAACAACGGTGCTAACATTTAGAAAGAATCAAAGGGTTAGTTTCAGGAAAACAATGAAATTTCTAACCCAGTTAAAGTGGAAGAATTGTAAAGATGTTTTTGTCTTTTGGACTTTAAAAATGCCCTCATGTGAATTATAGTTGACAGGCTGTTGCCTGGAACTACCCAGTATTTTATTTTTTCTTAAAGTGTCTTAAAATTTTTGGTGGATGGAAATTTTGGTGAGGGTTTTGTTGTTCTTTTTTTTTTTGGCATGGTTTATATTCAAAGAATATTGAAAGGAGGACAAAGTGCCATCAGCTGTCCTTGAATCCCAACTGAAGGATTTCTGTTAATATAATGGTCGTCTCTTTCAAAATAAGGGCTAAATTCCTGCTGTAAGAGTTCGTATGGTATACATTTGACTTGTTATAATTGCTTGATAACTGCAGTACTATTACAGAAGCGAGGCTTCAAAATATTCCTTCAGTAAAGCAGGCAGAGAAGGGGGGGCTGGGGTACTGAGTTCTAATCTTTGCACTAACTGGATTAGAAACATCATCTTTAATTTCCCTTATCCTCTGGAAACTTGAACATGGCATGTCCCTGCCTTAAAAATGAGCTGAACCTGAACAAAATATCCACAACGTACGTAGGTGGTTAATATTGACTTAAAGAGTAAAAAAAATGGATATTGTCTTAATAAACAACAGTTTACTTTTACTCCTCTCAAATGTTTTTTTGCCTCCCCCCCCCAGACTTTTAAACCCCCAAACATTCACTCATATCCATAATTTCATAATGATATCAGGGAGACTTGCTGCATTTCACATAATCAGATGGCAGTAAAGATAATCCTTGAGTTACAAATGCTCATTTAGTATCTTTACCATAGTTACTACAGGAATTGACAAAGGTTCCCCTATTCACACATCAGCATGAACACCAGTAGGTTTTAGACAGAACAGTCACCTGAAAAATAAGTTCCCAGCAATAAGCAGCTCAGCTATTAAAGGTACAAAAATTATCTTTATTGAACCACTTCATTTGTATTAATAACAGAAATAACAAGATTTATCTGTGGCGCAGAACCATCTGCTCGGGGCCAAAAGAGGCCCTCAGAAACGTAATAAAAGATCCTCAGAGAGACCGAATCAATTCTTCGTAGGGTTTCCACAATTTCCTTGACTTTGCACCTCTGTCGTTGCACTGGCTAACCCCTCTACATACTACTAGCATAACAATTCTTGTTGTGTGAACCTGGCTGTAGTCAAACAAGCATGAAACATGGGAACGATTCAGGAAGAATCTAGAATTTTGTTCTAAGTGACAGTTTTATTCCTCTAGTGTCGGGCTATCCAACCTTGGCAACTTTAAGATTTGTGGACTTCCAGCTCCCAGAATTCCCCAGCCAGCATGGCTGGCTAGGGAATTCTGGGAGTTGAAGTCCACAAGTCTTAAAAGTTGACGAAGTTGGACATCCCTACTTTAGTATATCATGTAAAGGCCCTCGGCCTGTAAGCCATAATTAATCTCCAATCAGAGCCAAGATATAATTGCCCCTGTGTGTGTGTTGCATGTATGTGTATGAAAAAAAGTCAAATCATGTTTATAAGCACAGCTACAAAACCATTTACAGTCTTCACGTTTAGGTCTTATAGGGGAACCGTGGTCATTCTTGTAAGCTTGTCGGTCTTGGAAGACGCCCAGGAGAATCTGAAAGACACAAGAAGCTGCATTTCAGAGAAAAACAAAACAAAACAGAAAACAGATTAAAAAGAACATAGCCTGATAACATGATGCGCCAATCCAGCACCAGGGATCTCCTGACACTTTTTCACATTGGTTTTCAAGTACGTCAGGGAAAAACTCGTTAAAGGCAAAGAAAAAGCACACCACAAAAACTCTCCTTTTAGGATCCAGAGGTTTATTGAATTTTAGAACACAAAACAAGTAACATACATCAGAGGGATAGAATCAGGATCAGGTGAAGTGTTAACATCACTTTACAAGGCCTTGGTAAGGCCACACTTGGAATGCTGGATCCAGTTTTGGTCACCACGATGTAAAAAAGATGCTGAGACTCTAGAAAGAGTGCAGAGAAGAGCAACAAGGATGATCAGGGGACTGGAGGCTAAAACATACGAGGAACGGTTGCTGGAATTGGGTATGTCTAGTTTAATGAAGAGAAGGACAAGGGGAGACATGATAGCATCCCAATATCTCAGGGGCTGCCCCCCCAAAAAAGGGGGGGGGAATGTCAAGCTATTCTCCAAAGCGCCTGAAGGCAGGACAAGAAGCAACGGATGGAAACTAATCAAAGAGAGAAGCAACCTAGAACTAAGGAAAAACTTCCTGACAGAACAATTAACCAGTAGAACAATCTGCCTCCAGAAGCTGTGAATGCTCCAACACTGGAAGTTTTTAAGAGACTGGAGAACCAGGGTTTCCTGCCTGAGCAGGGGGTTGGACTAGATGACCTCTAAGGTCCCTTCCAACTTATTTTATTCATTAGATATGAACCTCAGTCAACTGAACATTCAAACTGGCTGGCGCTGATGGCTGACACGGGTTGCTACCAGCATCCTAGGTGTCAACCAGGTACCTCCTTAAAATGTAAGATGTTCCGAGTAGCGCAGTTTTTTTTGTACATTGCTGGAGTTATTGCAGGAAGCTGCAGTTTCTTGATGTGTTTCCACTCCATATTTTCTATTCTATTCCATTCCACTCCACATTTTTCATTCCACTCCATATTTTCCATTATATTCCATTCCATATTTTCTATTCTATTCCATTCCATATTTTCTATTCCATTCCATTCCATATTTTCTATTCCATTCCATATATTTCATTCCATTCCATATTTTCTATTCCATTCCATATTTTCTATTCCATTCCATTCCATATTTTCTATTCCACTCCATTCCATATTTTCTATTCCATTCCATATATTTCATTCCATTCCATATTTTCTATTCCTTTTCATTCCCTATTTTCCATTCCATCCATATGTTCTATTCTATTCCATTGCATTCCATATTTTCCATTCCATTCAATCCCATTCCATATTTTCTATTCCATTCCATATTTTCCATTCAATTCCATTCCATATTTTCCATTCCATTTTTTTATTCCATTCCATTCCATATTTTCTATTCCATTCCATTCCATATTTTCCATTCCATTCCATATTTTCCATTCCATTCCATATTTTCCATTCCATATTTTCCATTCCATATTTTCTATTCCATTCCATTCCATTCCATCAGCGGAGGCTCCAAGGGATGTAATCAAATGGAGAAAGACTTAACGAGGAGTGTCAACCTGGCCATTGGTCCTACCTTTCTTAATGATCAACGTCGGCATCCTCAAACTGTCCCGTCACTACTGGGCCCGCATCGACTTCCATTCCATCTGAAAGCAAAAACATCAACAGACTGGAGATGCTGCTCGACTTATGACCGTCTGCTTAACAACCATTTGAAGATACAATGGCACTGAAAAAAGGACAGTTTTTTCACACCTACGACCGTTTACAATATCCCCACGGTCTATGCCAGGGGTAGGGAACCTTGGCTCTTTTATGACTGGTGGACTTCAACTCCCAGAATTCCTGAGTCAGCATGGGGGAAGCTATGGCCCCTTCATGACTTGCGGACTTCAACTCCCAGAATTCCTCAGCCAGCATGTGGGAACTATGGCTCCCTCATGACTTGTGGACTTCAACTCCCAGAATTCCTGGGTCAGCATGGCTGGCTCAGGAATTCTGGGAGTTGAAGTCCACAAGACATAAAAAGGGCCAAGTTTGAAGACCCCTGCTTGTGGACTTCAAGTCCCAGAATTCCTCAGCCAGGCACGTTGGCTGAGGAATTCTGGGACTTCAAGTCCACAAGTCATAAAAGAACCAAGGTTGCCTACCCCTGGTCTATGCGATCAAAATGTGGACGCTTGGCAACTGACTCATATTTATGACGGTTGCAGTGTCCCGGGGGTCATGTGACCCTCAGGCCAGGAAAGTCAATAGGGCAAGCCGGATCCACTTAACAACCATAATAACTGCAAGGAGTCACTTAACAACTGCAGCAAGAAAGGTCGTAAAATGGGGGCAAAAGTCATTTGACGACTGTCTCGCTTAGCAATGGAAATGCTGGGCTCCATTGTGGTCGTAAGCCGAGGATTACCTATACTGGTAGTCCTCGTTTTAACAACTGGCTACTTAGTGAAGGTTCAAAGTTACTATGGACCCAAAAGGTACTTATGACCTGGGCGCAGAATTCCAGCCGCCCCCCCCCCCGCTATCACACGACATTTCAGTCATTCGGCAACCAGCTCCCTTTTACCGTCGCTTGGCGTGTGCTACAGTCAGGGGACCGTGATTGGCCATATTTTTTTTGCCAGTTTCCAGTCTTTTCCCAGCCAAAGGAATGAATGGGCTCACTTGACCACCACAAAAAATGTGCTTTAAAAGACCACCACAAAAAATGCTCATCAAATTGGTCTGTGGAGGTTCTCCGTCCTGGTTGCCCCAAAGATGCTTTTTCAGGAGGCAATTGGACTTTGTTTTTTCTTTGAAGATGTTATAGTAGTAGTAGTAGTAGTAATAGTAGTAGTAGTAGTAGTAGTAATAATAATAATACAAAATTGGAATAATAATAATAATAATAATAATAATAATAATAATAATAATAATAATAAATAATTGGAAGGGACCTTGGAGGTCATCTAATCCAACCCCCTGCTCAAGCAGGAAACCCTATACCAGTGATGGCGAACCTTTTAGAGACCGAGTGCCCAAACTGCAACCCAAAATCCATGCATAGTTGGGTGCCGGGAGGGTGTGGCCCGTTGGCTGGGTGTGGCCCGTTGGCTGGGTGTGGCCCATTGGGTGGGCGTGGCTAAACTAAAAAGTTCAACCAATCAATTCCAACTTTGCAAGATCTTTTTTTCCCCATGAGAAGTTGAAATTGACTGATTGATTGAACCTTTTTTTTTTTTTTTTTGCACACGGCAGTGGAGGCCTAAAGCGAAAAGGTTTTATAAAATCCAGCGGAAGGCCTAGGACTGGGGCGACGGCACGCGTGCCCACAGAGAGGGCTCTGAGTGCCGCCTCTGGCACCCGTGCCATAGGTTCACCACCACTGCCCTATACCTTTTCAGACAAATGACTGTCCAGTCTCTTCTTAAAAGCTTCCAGTGTTGGAGCATTCACTGCTTCTGGAGGTAGGTTGTTCCACTGGTTAATTGTTCTCACTGTCAGGAAGTTTCTCCTTAGTTTTAGGTTGCTTCTCACCCTGATGAGTTTCCATCTGTTGCTTCTTGTCCTGCCTTCAGGCACTTTGGAGAATAGCTTGACTCCCTCTTCTTTGGGGCAACCCCTGAGATACTGGAACACAGCTATCCTGACCCCCTCGTCCTTCTCTTCGTTAAACTAGACATACCCAATTCCAGCAAGCGTTCCTTATATGTTTCAGCCTCCAGTCCCCTAATCATCTTTGTTGCTCTTCTCTGCACTCTTTCTAGAGTCTCAACATTTTTTTTTACATCGTGGTGACCAAAACTGGGTGCAGTATTCCAAGTGTGGCCTTACCAAGGCCTTGTAAAGTGGTATTAACACTTCACCTGATCCTATCCCTCTATTAACGCAGCCTAGCACTGTGTTGGCTTTTTTGGCAGCTGCAACAACTCTCTAAAAAGAATGCAAATGACCAGCTATCTGGAAAGAGTATAAATCCTTCCATTCCCCACCATCCAGTCAGAGCTGGAGAAGCTTCTTGGAGGACAAGCGAAACATCTTCAAAGAAAACCAAGGAAGTCCATTTAACCTCGTGAAAAAAAAGCACCTCTGGGTCATAAAATTGGATTGATCACATGGATGCCTCGACTTACATTCCTGCTCTACAAGGGGGAATTTAGGCTCCATATAAATCAAGCACATAACAATGCAGTGGGTAACTGACAGATGGCTTATAAATTAAAAAGCACATAAGAAAAAAAGCAACGGATGGAAACTGACCGAAGAGAGAAGCAACCTAGAACTAAGGAGAGATTTCCTGACAGTGAGAACAATTAATCAGTGGAACAATCTGCCTCCAGAAGCGGTGAATGCTCCAAGACTGGACGCTTTTAAGAAGAGACTGGACAGCCATTTGTCTGAAATGGTATAGGGCTTCCTGCCTGAGCAGGGGGTTGGACTAGATGACCTCCAATGGTCCCTTCCAACTTTATTATTATTATTATTATTATTAAACTTAGGAAGCCTTGCCTCAGTGGGAAGTGTCAAGCTTGCAACTAGATGACCTCCAATGGTCCCTTCCAACTTTATTATTTTTTTAAAAAAAAAAGGTGTGCAGCCCAATTGGAGAATGGGACACCAACGATAGATAGTCCTGTCTTCTCAAAGCAGGTCTCCAAACTTAGAAACTTGGAAGACTTGTGGACTTCAACTCCCAGAAATCCTCAGCCCAGCCATTTTGGCTGGGGGAACCCTGGGGGTTGAAATCCACCAGTCTTTTTAAGTTGCCAAAGCTGAGAAACCCAACCCAAAATAGCAAGGAAGGGGACGGCAGAGTTAGGAGCAGGGTCAAGTCACGGGGGGTCTCCAGAGACCCCCGCCTCAAAGCCTGACTGGAGACTGCCCTCAAGATAACTCCAACCTGGGTCCAGAAAAACTGCAAGGTGAATTCCTACCTTCAAATTCCCCGAGAGTATCTTCCATTCTCACCCCAGCCATGTGGTACTGGGTGCTAATGGACTGGGCCAGCATGCCCTCCAGCCTCTCCAACGTAGCTTGGCCCTCGGCCGTTAAGTGGGACAAGCCTTCTTCGTACGTGTAGAAGGAGGGGATATCGCCTTGACCAATTTCTGTGCCAAGAACAGAAAATGCAAAAATGCACGTTAGCCTTAGAGCAGCGGTTCTCAACCTGGGGGTCGGGACCCCATTTGGGGGTCGAACGGCCGTTTCACGGGGGTCGCCAAACTACGCAGTCCGCCATTTTTTTCCCCCCTTTTCCTTAGCTGTGCTACTCCCTTTTATTCTATTGGCTTTTGAAAGCCAATAGAATAGACTCTCTTGAATAGAGTCTAATTCTATTGGCTTTCAAAAGCCAATAGGAATTGTCCAGGCTGTCTCTGCCCTGCTGAGCCCGCCAAAAGTCCCATTCTGCAAACGGTGCTGCACCAGTTGAGTAGTCCTCGACTTACGACCGGTTGGGGGTCACGGCATTAAAAAGGTTGAGACCCACTGCCTTAGAGAGAACACAAGGGGGGTCTGGTCACGTGATCCAAATTCAGACGCTTGGCAGCCGACTCATGTTTAGGGGGGGTCGTGGCATCCCCGGGGTCAAATGATCCCCTTTTGCGACCTTCTGACGAGCGAAGTCAATGGGGGAAGCCGGATTCACTCAACAATCGTGTTACTAACAACTGCACTGATCCACTTAACCACTGTGGTAAGGAAGATTGTAAATTAGTGCAGAACAGGAGTGTAGTAAAATGGGGCAAAAGCCACTTAACAAACGTCCCGCTTAACAACAGAAATTTTGGGGCTCAATGGTGGTCGTAAATCCAGGATTTCCTGTACTACTCCTGTAGTAACTGTGAGAGGGACCTCGGAGTCCTACTGGACAATCACTTAAATAGGAGCCAGCCGTGTGCAGCAGCTGCCAAAAAAGCCAACACAGTGCTAGGCTGCATTAACAGAGGGACAGAATCAAGGTTACATGAAGTGTTAATACCACTTTACAAGGCCTTGGTGAGGCCACACTTGGAGTACAGCATCCAGTTTTGGTCACCACAATGTAAAAAAGATGTTGAGACTCTGGAAAGAGTGCAGAGAAGAACAACAAAGATGATCAGGGGACTGGAGGCTAAAACATACAAGGGACGATTGCTGGAATTGGGTATGCCTGGTTTAATGAAGGACAAGGGGGGACATGGTGGCAGTATCTCAGGGGCTGCCCCAAAGAAGAGGGAGTCAAGCTATTCTCCAAAACGCCTGAAGGCAGGAAGAGAAGCAACAGATGGAAACTCATCAAGGAGAGAAGCAACCTAGAACTAAGGAGAAACTTCCTGACAGTGAGAACAATTAACCAGTGGAACTGCTTGTGAATGCTCCAACACTGGAAGTTTTTAAGAAGAGATTGGACAACTATTTTTCTGAAAGGGATAGGGTTTCCTGCCCGAGCAGGAGGTTGGACTAGATGACCTCCAAGGTCCCTTCCAACTTGATTATGATTTTTTCACGGAATTACTTCAATAAGTCACCCAAGCTGCAGTCCTTAAGCAAAAACAACAGTCATTAAGTGAACACTGCAGTCCTTTAGAAAGTCTGTTTTTTTTCCCAATGGATGTTGTTTGCCAGAAACTGGAACTAAACACCAGAAATTAATAAAACAAAACAAAACAAAAAGACCCCCAAACACAAAGTCACATGACCCTAGGGCATGGCAAATGGCCATAAATGCACCCACAACACAATCACATGACCCCAGGAACAAGGCTGTGTTCAAAGCTACAAGGTACTTTCAAACAGAGAAGAGAGAAGCAACCTGGAACTAAGGAGAAACTTCCTGACAGTGAGAACAATTAACCAGTGGAACCACCTGCCTCCAGAAGCGGTGAGTGCTCCAACACTGGGAGTTTTTAAGAAGAGACTGGACAACCATTTGTCTGAAATAGTATAGGGTTTCCTGCCTGAGTAGGGGGTTGAGCTAGATGACCTCCAAGGTCCCTTCCAACTTTATCATCATCATCATCATCATCACTGGAGGCTTTTAAAAAGAAACTGGACAGCCATTTGTCTGAAATGGTATAGGGTCTCCTGCCTGAGTAGGGGGTTGGACTAGATGACCTCCAAGGTCCCTTCCAACTTTATTATTATTATTAAGGTCATAAGTAGCTCTGGGAAGGTCCGTAACTTCAAAGTCAGTAAGTGAGCAGTCATTAAATGAGGACTACCTGTTAGACTAAAATGATTATTAACCAATTAATCTTTTTTGGGGGGGGAGGGTCTCTTAATACAGATACAAAACTGCCAGTTAATGTGGCCTAACCTGGATCTACACATCATGCACCTGCAAGCCCCGCTTACCGTGAGCCTCGAGCTCATATTCATCACCGTCGTAATTGCCATCCGAGTCTTCGTCTTCCGGGTCGGGATGCAGGGCTTGGCATTCACACATGGCAGTGAACATGGCCTCCACTAGGTGAAAAACACAACGGCAAAATCGACTCACTCGGGGGCTGCTCCATGAAGGTATTTTAACAGGTTGTTAAAGCGCCTAGCCCTTTAACCGTGGCAACTTTAAGACGTGTTACAAATAAAGGAGAATATTTGTAGCTCGGGGGTTGACGTGTGGGGTCCTTGGTGCTCTCTGAGCTTGGTGGTTTCCTTGCAGACGTTTCATGACCCAAACTAGGTAACATCACCAGTGCTAGAAAACAGGAGGAGGAGGAGGAGGAGGAGGAGGAGGAGGAGGAGGAGGAGGAGGAGGAGGAGGAGGAGGAGGAGGAGGAGGAGGACGACTGTGAACTCCATGCTCTCTGCTTTGGCTGATTTCTTGCAAACCTTTCATTACCTAACTAGGTAACATCATCAGTGCTAGAAAACAAGAGGAGGAGGAGGAGGAGGAGGAGGAGGAGGAGGAGGAGGAGGAGGAGGAGGAGGAGGAGGAGTCAGGTGAAAGGTGGGATACAAATAATTTTGTTGGAAACTCAATTTAGCTATCTATCTAGAAAGAAGACTCTTGCTGTTCTTAAGGATAACACGTGATAAATTTTGCAGTATGTGTATGGGGGAGAGTTGTGAAAAAATAAAAAAGTTTAAATAAATAAAAAAAAGGCTGTCTAATTTAAATCTAATCCCTGTCTAATTTGCTTTCCCAAAAAAGTAGGGGTTCTGTAAATGTCCATGTCCATCATGTCAGTCATTACAGACATGGAGGAGGAGGAGGAGGAGGAGGAGGAGGAGAAGAAGAAGAAGAAAAGAAGAAGAAGAAGAAGAAGAAGAAGAAGAAGAAGAAGAAAAAGAAGAAGAAGAAGAAGAAGAAAAGAAGAAGAAGAAGAAGAAGAAGAAGAAGAAGAAGAAGAAGAAGAAGAAGAAGAAGAAGAAGAAGAAGAAGAAGAAGAAGAAGAAGAAGAAGAAGAAGAAGAAGACGAAGAAGAAGAAGAAGAAGAAGAAGAAGAAGAAGAAGAAGAAGAAGAAGAAGAAGAAGAAGATGATCATCTGTGGGGTCTTTGGTGCTCTCTGAGTTTGGTTGTTTTCCTGCAGATATTTCATGACCCAACTAGGAAACATCATCAGTGTTAGAAGGGAGTGTGGAAAGAGAGGAGGAGGAGGAGGAGGAGGAGGAGGAGGAGAAGATGAAGAAGAAGAAGAAGAAGAAGAAGAAGAAGAAGAAGAAGAAGAAGAAGAAGAAGAAGAAGAAGAAGAAGAAGAAGAAGAGGAGGAGGAGGAGGAGGAGGAGGAGGAGGAGGAGGAGGACAACTGTGGAGTTCTTCGTGCTCTCTGACTTTGGCTGTATTCTTGCAAGCCTTTCATTACCTAACTAGGTAACATCATCAGTGCTAGAAGAGAGTGGGGGTTTGCGAGGAGGAAAAGGAGGAGGAGGATATATCAGAATTATAGTGTTTCCTTGCCAGTTAGATGTGTGCCAGCATTATTCTGAAAAAAAAAACCACCAAGCTGTTTGGTTTACTCGGTAAGGCAAACAGGCTGGAAACCAAGAGAAGGTAAGTTCTAGTTCTATCTTAGGCACGAAAGCCAGCTGGGCAGCTTTGGGCCAATCGCTAGGAGATGGTGAGTTCTAATCCCGCCTTAGCCATGAAAGTCAACTACTCATCGGTGACTTTGGGCCAGACTCTCTTTCAGCCCATCTCACCTCACAGGGTTGTTGTTGTGGGGAAAAGAGGAGGAGAAAGATATATAGGGATATGTTTGCCACCTTGAGTTATTTGTGAAAATAATAAAGGTGGGAAATGAATGGAATGAATGAATGAATTGAACTGAATGAATGAATGAATTGAACTGAACGAATGAACGAATGAATACATCCATGGGCTTGACTCCCTCCCTCAGCACACTCAGGATATATTCTCCGTGCCCAAACTAGCGTGTTCCAAGTTTCTCATCTGTTTTTCCAACTTACATGCTGATTTGTCGCTGGGTACAAATCGGAATTCTGAGATGGGTTCAAGCTCGTCGTCACTCTCCTCCTCTTCCTCCTCCGGTACGGGACTGTCTTTGGATTCTTCTGCTGAGGAATCAAAAATGAAGATGCGCGTTAAGCAACCTGGCATTTCTGCCTCACTTCTCCAAAGAATTAGGACCACCTGGGAGCTCCTGCTGTCGTGTCCAGCTAACATAGCCAGAGATAATAACTAAAGTCCAATAACTAGGTGTCGCCTACACAATTTTGATTTCTAATGTAAGGAATGAAAGAAAAAAGGGAGGAAGGGAGGGCAAGAGAAAGAAAGAGAGAAAGAGAGAGAGGGAAAAAAATGAAAAAAGGAAGAGAAAATGAAAGGGAGAGGAAGAAAGAGAAAAGAGAGGGAGAGAGAGGGAGGGAGACATTCAAGAGAATAAAGAACTAGAAAAAATGGGTTTCCACAAGTCACTGCTTTATCGCTGGAAGCTCAGCAGCTTATGAGAATCTTATCAACACCCAACCTCTGAAGAAGTTTTCAACAACAAGCTGTTCCCCCAGTCCAAAATGCCATTTGTATCACTAGCCCAGGAAGCTTTTGATCATGACATTAAGACATAGTCCGACATTCTTTAGATAGCAACTTTATTTTCTTCTATAGCCTTTTATTCAATGGGTATACAGATATATTGCAGTCAAGGTGGACTCAGCCTTCCCTCCTTTTGAGGTTAGCAAAATGAGGACCCAGATTGTTGAGGGCAAATATGCTGACTCCATAAACCGCTTAGAGAGGGGCTGTAAAGCACTATGAAGCGGTATATAAGTCTAAGTGCTATTGCTATTGTTAACTCTGCCCACAGCTAGGAGTTCAGTCCTGACCGGCTCAAAGTTTACTCAGCTTCTGAGGTCAGTAAAAGGAAGATCCAGATTGTTGGGGGCAATCTGTAAACCACTTAGAGGGGGCTGTAAAGCACTGTGAAACGGTATATAACTCTAAGAGCTATTGGGAAGGAAGGAAGGAAGGAAGGAAGGAAGGAAGGAAGGAAGGAAGGAAGGAAGGAAGGAAGGAAGGAAGGAAGGAAGGAAGGAAGGGAGGAAGGGAGGGAGCCATGGTGGTGCAGTGGTTAGAATGCAGCATTGCAGGCTTATTCTGCACACAGCCGGGAGTTCGATACTCACCAGCTCAAGGTTAACTCAGCCTTCCATCCTTCCCAGGTCAGAAAAATGAGGATTGTTGGGGGCAAATATGCTGACTATAAACCACTTAGAAAGGGCCGTAAAAGCATTGTGAAGTGATAAATCTAAGGGCTATTGCTAACTAGACCTCCTTACCTTCAAACTTGGCATTCACCATGACATACAAGTGTTCCCACGGGTAAGCATTCAAGTCCCTGGAGATGGCATGTAAACTTATGATGGGATAGTCCAATGAGAATCCAAGGCCCGAATCTGTTATCCATGACAGACGACTAAAAGTGCAAAGCAAACAGAAAAATAAGTGGTAACTGAATTGACGAGAACAGAATTTTACACCAAACTACTTTGAAATCACAGTTCACATCTATCTGAGCCATGACAATCACATATTTGATTTTTTTTTTAAAAAAAAAAAGCTGCTATGGAATAAAACCTGGATCCAAGACACAAATGCTAATGAGCACAGGAAGAAGGAGTATTAGTCAGGATTATTCAGAAGAGTGATTCAGTGCTGTGCCGGTCACCCTCTCAGGTCAACCCACCTCACAAGGTTATTGTCATGGAGAAGATAGGACAGTGATGGCGAACCTTTTAGAGACCGAGTGCCCAAACTGCAACCCAAAACCCACTTATGCATCGTCGGGTACTGGGTGGGCGTGGCCCATTGGATGGGCGTGGCTGCAGTGGTAATGGCAGACTGGGTGGGACTAAAAAGTTCAATTAATCAATTCCAACTTTGCAAGATCTTTTTTTTCCCCGTGAGAAGTTGAAATGGTTGAGCGAAAAGGTTTTATAAAACCCAGCTGAAGGCCTAGGACTGGGGCGACGGCGCGCGTGCCCACAGAGAAGGCTCTAAGTGCCACCTCTAGCACCCGTGCCATAGGTTCGCCACCACTGAGATAGGAGGAAGAAATTATGTTGTATATGTTCGCCATTTTGAGTTATTTATAAAAATAATGAGGGCTGGATACAAAGAAATAAACATTTTAAACGGTTTATTCACCACTTTGGGTTCAGAAACATACAAACCAATATAAAATGAAGTTATCCACCAGAAACTATCTCAAACCACAGACTGCAACCATATGAAACTGAATGAGCGCTAATCTGAATGAGCTGAGGTGGCGCAGCAGTTAGGGTGCAGTACTGCAGGCCACTTTAGCTGACTGTGTTCAGCAGGTCAGCAGTTCAAATCTCACCAGCTCAAGGTTGACTCAGCCTTCCATCCTTCCGGGGTAGGTAAAATGAGGACCCAGATTGTTGGGGGCAATGTAAATATACATATATACATTGCTTACTGGTGTACACCGCTTAGAGAGTGCTTGCACTTAAAGCGGTATATAAGTCTCATAAATAAATAAAATAAATAATCATGATGGGCTTGGCAATTTTTGCTATTGTTGTGGCCCAACAGCTAGAATCTCACACACAGCTCTTTAAGGGTTTACACATTTCCCCACAGATATCCTGAGATCAGTTTTTGCCATCATATCTGCTGTAGCTTGAAGGCAGAAGCAACCTGTCTTTCAATGACATTTACAGGTGGACCCATTAAGAGGGCCGGCCTTCCAAGTCCTGAGCCAGTACAGGGGATTCTGGGAACTGAAGTGTCATACTGTTGCCATGTTTGAACAATACTGGCTTAAACTGTAAGAATGCCACATGCTTGGCTATTATAAGGTTCAAATATCTATCTGTCTGTCTGTCTAGCCATCTATCTATCATCTATCAATCTACATATCTATAATTATCAATCATTTATGCATCTATCAATCATCTATCTTTCTACATATTTATCTTCTATCTATGTATCCTATCTATTATGTATGTATCCTATCTATCTACATATCAATATCTACATATTTATTAATCATCTATCTACATATCTATCTACATATCTATCAATCATCTATCACTCTACATCTATCAATCACCTATCAATCTACATATATCAATCATCTATCTACATATCTGTATCATTTATTTACATATCATCTATCTACACATCTATCAATCTCTCAATGTACATATCTATCAATCATTTACATATCTATATCATTTATTTACATATCATCTATCTACACATCTATCAATCATCTATCTACATATATATCATTTATCTACATATCTATCAATCTACCTACCTGTCATGTCTCTCATCTTTTGTCCTTTTTATTTATACAAATTAACTCAAAGCAGTTAATTTGTCTGTCTCTCATCTTTTGTCCTTTTTATTTCTACAAATTAACTCAAAGCAGGCAGAGAGGATACCCAACGTACTTTCTTCCTCCTATTTTCCCCCAACAACCCTGTGAGGTGGGCTGGGCTGAGAGAGAAACTGGCCCAAAGTCACCCAATTATTGCAATTATGATTTGATGAATGCAATTAGCGATCCCATAGTAGTCGGAGACTCCTCATGTCCATTATTACTCATGGAAACTGCAGTTATATTGTGGCAGGCGGGGAAGTCCCGCCTCCCCTCGACCTCCCCCCCCTCCAAGGATGGGAGATGCTGAGCTGCAGATGCCACATCTGGAGGGCGCCAGGTTGGAGAAACCTGACCACAGATTAAACGCACGTCCGGCCTCCCGTCCCTCCGAAAAGGCCGATTTAGGAGTATCCCTCCGCCCTTCCAGTGGCAGGGAGTTCCGCAGGCCTCTTTGGCTACCCACACGCCCTCACCTCTCCGCGATGTACAGGCTGCCCGTGCCCAGACCGCGTCCGCCGAGCACGGCCTCCGTATCGGGTTTCCGCAGCCGGATCCCCTCGCTCGGTTCCGGGATGCGCTTCAAGAAGCTCATAGCGAGCGCAAGGCCTACTGCAGCCGGGAGCCGCCGAGACCGGAAGTACAACCCGCCAGGCTGACCCGAGACGCTTCGCCGTTTCCTTTCGCCGTCACCATAGAGAGGGGGGAGAGCGCCAGGCCAGGCGCGCTGAGGCCTGCTGTCACCATAGAGATGGAGAGGGCGACGCTCCCCGGCGGCGATTGTGGCGGGGTCACGTGACCTTGTGCCCGCCTGCCGGGCAGGCGCCACGCTTTAATCCCCAAGTTTGCAAATTGCTTTTTTTATTATTTTTTTGCAAAACACGGACCGCTTTTACACTAGTGTTTTCAAAGGAGGGGATAAGAACTCGTGGGGATGCTTGCAACGAGGCTTAATTGGGGCTTCCCCATGTCTAGATCGGCTTTAAACTTTGGGGCGGGGGGGGGCAACCCCTGCAAATAGGGGACAATTCGCTTGCCTTGATTTTTTTTTTTTAAGACGTCCAACAGATGTAGGTTTAGGGGCAAGTAAAGGGGTTAATACAGGTGGTTCTCGATTTACGACCACAATTGTGTCCCAAATTTATCTTGCTAAGTGAGACACTTGCTAAGTGAGCACTGCCCTGATTTATGACCGTTTTTGCCACAATCGCTAAGTGAATTGCTGCAAGTTGTTAAGTGAGTAGCATGGTGGTTAAGTGAATCTGGTTCCCCCCATTGACTTTGCTGGTCAGAAGGTCACAAAAGGGGATTGCAATGGTCATAAATGTGAGTCAGTTGCCAAGCATCCAAATTCTAACCAAATGGGGATGCTGCAAGTCGTTAAGTGTTAAAAAAAATGGTCATAAATCACTTTTTTCAATGGCCATTCTAACTTCAAATGGTCACCAGATGTGCTATTGTAAATCATGTGATATCGGGACGGTGCAAAGGTCATGAATATGACTTAGTTGCTGTTTTGAGCATGTGACCTTGGGGATGTTGCAGTGGTCGTAAATCTGAAAAATGTGTGTTGAAGGAAAAGTTTTCATCATGGTTCAGTCCAAGCTGGGAATAAACAACATGGTGACTGTTTTAGAAAGAAGGTTGCAGTTTATTGAAGAGGAGAGCCAGACAGAAAGATGGCTCTGGAAAAAAAAGGGAAAAAGCACATGTCGGGAGTGGGTTTTTATACTCTCTGGGGCTCTTGATATTGTTTACTGTTCCTGTTTGAGGCTTTGTATTTCCTGTAATCATGTACTTTGACCTGAGTGAGTGTGCCCCTTTGGCATCTGTGGGTTAATCCTATTATGTCCTGTCTTAGAGTTTGCGTGGGGTATGTAGATCAATATCTAATGACTGGTTTGGACAAAACTCAGCAGCACTTTTTCGTGTGGCTGCTGATAAAAACAGGATCGCCAACATGATCACCAACATCCGATAACGGACATGGCACAAGAAGAAGATGATGTAGATTTTAGGTGTCTTTGTCTTCCTAAGCTTCTAGCTGGAGGGCTCCAACCTTCCTGAATGGATTATTACATCTGCATTTCTACAGAGCTGGTTCCTGTTTGGGGGAGGGAGATTTGGAACTATTAAGAAAAACTGGGCATGTTTTTCTGCCTCTTTAATATCTTTCGAGGAAATATATTATTCTGCCCTTTTAATATTTCCTTCTCTGGGGGCTGACTTCCCACATGTGATAATAAGTCCTTTTTTTTCATTGCGGTTGTAACTTCGAATGGACACTGAACGAACCGTTGTAAGTGAGAAGGTCGCAAAAAGGGATCACGTGACCACAAAAAACTGCAACGGTCATAAATATGAGCCAGCTGTCAAGCATCTGAATTTTGATCACATGATCATGGGGATGTTGCAAAGGTCATAACTGAAAAACGGTCATAAGTCAAGATTTTTCAGTGCCGTTGTGACTTTGAACGGTCACTAAATGAACTGTTGTAAGTTGAAGACTACCTGTAAAATAAGGCAAGCAGCCCGAACGGATACATTATCACCATCATCATCAGAGTTGGAACTTGGAGGTCCTCTAGTCCAACCCCCTGCTCAGGCAGGAAAGCCTATACCATCTCTGACAAATGGCTATCCAGTCTCTTCTTAAAAACCTCCAGTGATGGAGCACCCACAACTTCTGGAGGCAAGCAGTTCCACTGGTTAATTGTTCTCTTTGTCGGGAAATATGAGAAAAATTAAAATGTCATCCCATCTATATGATATTTTAGTCCATCATAAATTAACTCCTTAGCAAAGGAAGGAAAAAACATCCTTTGAAACTTGGGTGGTCATGCCATGGAATGGATCATGGGCCATTGCACTGTCAACTTGCAGTGACCACATTTGTGCTACCCCAGCGTGATCTGCTCCACAACCTGGCCCTTGTAGACCCCCTCAACGGGACATTCAATGTTGCTGGGATTGGGTCCATCTCTCTTCCTGTTGGTTGTCCTCTTTCACACATGCATAAACATGAAATCAAGTAGCACATGCTTAATAAGATAATACTGCTGCGAGGCGTCCCGTTTCTTGGCACTAAGTGAATTGCCAAGACTTGTTTGCTATGAGTACCGGCCTATGAATTCTCAGATAGTCGTGTCCATCCTCCTCAGAATAACAGAGTTAATAATAATAACAAACTTGGGAAGGGTCATCTAGTCTAACCCCCTGCTCAGGCCGGAAACTCTATACATTCCAGACAAATGGCTATCCAGTCTTTTCTTAAAAATTTCCAGTGTTGGAGCATCCACAACTTCTGGAGGCAGATTGTTCCACTGATTAATTGTTCTAACTGTCAGGAAATTTCTTCTTAGTTCTAGGTTGCTTCTCTCCTTGGTTAGTTTCCATCCGTTGCTTCTTGTCCTGCCTTCAGGTGCTTTGGAGAACAGGTTGACCCCCAATTCTTTGTGGCAGCCCCTCAAATATTGGAAGACTGCTATCATGTCACTCCTAGCTTTTCACTATACTAGACATACCCAATTCCTGCAACTGTTCTTCATATGTTTTAGCCTCCAGGCCCCTGATCTATCTTCCTTATCTATCTATCTGTCTATCTATCTATCTATCTATCTGCCTGTCTATCTATAAAATTCCCTTTTTATGACCTTGTAATCCCTTTATTCCAGCGCCAAAGAAATGAGGCCTTTGAACTACGGTGCTGGAGAAGACTCCTGCGAGTCCCTTGGACTGCAAGGCGTTCAAACCGGTAAGTCTTAGAAGAGATCAACCCCAACTGCTCTTTAGAAGGCCAGATCCTGAAATTGAAACTCAAGTATTTTGGTCACCTAATGAGAAGGAAGGACTCACTGGAGAAGGGCCTAAGGCTGGGAAAGATGGAGGGCAAGAGAAGAAGGGGACGACAGAGAATGAGGTGGCTGGATGAAGTCACTGAAGTAGTAGGCGTGAGCTTAAATGGACTCCAGAAGATTGTAGAGGACAGGAAGACCTGGAGGAACGTTGTCCATGGGGTCACGATGGGTCGGACACGATTTCGTAACTAACAACAACAACAATCCCTTAATTCAGGGTAGAGTTGAGGCAACTGGATTGAAGCTGTGCATTTACTGGCCTCAGTGCCCCTCTTGACGTCTATGTGAAGTTTGCGGTGCATCTTATAATTCTATTCCTTCCCTTTCTGCTAATTTTAAATCTGTATTAACTTCAGGAGTGCAAGTTTTAAGCTATTTGCAAATCTGATGAAGCTGCAATCTTTTATGATAAGATGTCAACTTAGTTAAAACGATGCCCTTATGTCTTTTTCTGATAGGTACTTGGTGCATCGGCTTATTTAAATTTTTCTTTTTATTATGACAATGTACATGTCATATTCATATGAAAGGACAGTAGATATTATAAACAAAAACATTATGAAGGGAAAAAAACTTACACAATCAGGCCTCCGAGCTTATTTAAAAAAAAAAAAATGCCGCAGGCCCAGCTTATTATATACACTAAATGTTCTGACTAGACCATAGTGAAACAACACTGAACATTTTGTTAACAAAAATATTGGCACCCGCCATAACATTTGTTTTTTTAAACTTCAATTTACAAGGAATACAGTATTTAAACAGTCAAAGCTAAAAACACCAGGTGTTAGTTCACTGCAGTTAACCAGTTTTAAATGCCGAGAGAATTAGAATGGTCCAAGGTTAAATGGGAAAAAAGGTCCATGCAAGTGAATTGACTGGTATGAGGAGGGGAAAAAACAAAATATGGTAACAAAACAAGCTGAAAATTATGTACAAATATGAAGAGGCCTCTAGTTCTCTCCCCAGAATTATCTATTTCTCTCTCCAAACCTCTACTTTGAATACATTAAAAAAAAAAACAGAAAAACTCAAAGCAATATGAAACATAAAAGAATACAAATGACCGGCTCTCTGTAAGGAGTATAAATCTTTCCATTTCCCCACCATTCAATCACAGCTGAAGAAGCTTCTTGGATGAGAAGCGAAACGTCTTCCAAGAAAAAACAAGAAAATCCAGTTGCCTCCTGAAAAAGCATTTTTTGGGACAACCCTGACCTGGATGATGTAAAATCTCCACAGACAACATGAAACATCCCTATGAGAGCAGTACAGGAAAATTCTGCTCTAGCTTTTTTGACGGGTGCGGCAGGACATAAAACACACACCTGTAGATGGAAAACTGCACGTCCGTTTCCTAATTGGTCTCAACTAACTTTAGAACAAGACATCCAATCCTGGCAGGAGTTATGTATTTACAGTTTCTTGTCCGACATGAAAAAGTTAAGTGTACGCCCCAGGGATAAAATCCAGAGTTTGTTACCTATTCATATTTTTATTGAAAGAAAAGCAGATCACAAGTGGTAAGCCGGGCATAACAAATATTCTTAAGAGAAGCTTTTGGAGAGCAGAGTGACTCAACTGAGCATAAGGAAGTTCAAAAATGTTAGTTACGCGCCATTATTATTTTTTCCCTTCTGAGCCGAGGTGGCGCAGCAGTTAGAGTGCAGTACTGCAGGCCACTTTAGCTGTGTTCAGCAGGTCAGCGGTTCAAATCTCACCGGCTCAAGGTTGACTCAGCCTTCCATCCTTCCGGGGTAGGTAAAATGAGGACCCAGATTGTTGGGGGCAATGTAAATATATATAT